CCATTAACACACACACACACACACATGCGCGCTCAGGAAAGTGCTGCTGATTACAGGTCTTATTAAGGCTCCATTAGTCGCAGCACAATAATGAAGTGAGATGTGGACAGAAATAATCAGAAGTGTGTCTTTTTACCGTCTTTCACTGAGGTTATTTCTGCATCACACCAGGGAAAATAGACTCGCTCAAGAAATGCAGCGTTTAAGACAAGACAGCAGCTCTTTTATTAATGCACTGCTCAGTGTTGACTCTTTAACGTGCTCCTTCTCTTTCAGATTAATAGAGACGTTTTCTTAGTATACCTTTTTCTATTTTCACCTGTGGATTTGAATTGACGTTCACATCTGTAAGTGTGCTGACTCAGAGATACACACACCAAACTTATTCTGTCTATATTCAGATCACACACACACACACACACACACACACACACACAATTATTCTGTCATTCAGACCTGCAACACATTCCAGAAAGGTTGGGACAGTATGGAAAATGTTATTAAACAAAGAAAGTAGTGATTTGCAAATGCACTTTGACTTGTACTTCATTGCAAACAAAATATGAACAATAATATTTGATGTTTTGTCTGGTTAACTTCATTTAATTTGTAAATACAAGTCGTTTTCCGTCATTTAGACCTGCAACACACTCCAGAAAGAGCTGTGGCAGGAGGAGATCAGGGCAGTAATCAGGTGAACTGCTGAATAATGATGTAATGTGACGCAGGTGATGTCAACAGGTGATTGTGATTATGATTTGGTACAAAAGCAGCAGGAAAGGTCTAGTCCTTTAGGAGCAGAGACGGGTCGAGGATCACCAGTTTGACAACAAATACACAAGAAAATTATTGAAATGTTTAAAATCAACGTTCCTCAGAGAAAGAGAGGAAGACATTTGGATATTTCAGCTCCAACAGTGCAGAACATCTTTAAAGGATTGAAGGAATCTGGAGGAGTTTCACCGCGTAAAGGATGAGAGCGCACGCCTAAGCTGAACAACTGTGATCTCCGATCCCTCAGGGGGCGCTGCATCAAGAGTCATCATTCATCTACAAGCTAGAGCAGCACATGAGCTCGGCACTACTGCGGCAAACCTTTGTCAAGAACCACAATACAGAGTTACATCCACAAATGCCAGAGAAAACTGCACTGCGCCAAAAGGAAGCCCTATGTTAACAGTGTCCAGAAGCTCCATTGACCGCTCTGAGGTGTCTGGGATAGACTATCACACAGTGGAAATGTGTACTGTGCTCAGATGAATCAGTGTTTGAGGTGTTTTCGGGGAGAAGGGGACGCAGTGTGCTCTAGACCGAAGAAGAAAAGGATCATCCAGACTGTCACTAGCAACAAGTCCTTAAGCCAGGGTCTGTCATGGTATCGTGTTAGAGGTGTGCATTCCCACGGGAACCGACCAGATTTCTGCGGCGCAGGAATAAATTTCCAATTAAAGCGCGGGAGCGGTCGGTAACTGGTTTAATTTGGGACGGGAGCGGGCCGTCTAGCAATATGGATCCCGACTCCCGAGCGAGCGAGCACACATATGTAACGTTATGTGTGTAAATAAAACAGCGCGATGCTGTGTTTAGCTTGTTTGTTGCTGTGTGTATGTATGTGTGTGCGCGCGAATGAGAGAAAGAGAGCTTTGTCTGTGTGTGCTTATACAGACAGCTTGTTATAGGCTTGTATAGCTGGGTGGTTTTCAGTTTTGTTCGCAGGATCGGGCGCAGCGGGTAGAAAATGGGGCGAGTCGAGCAGCAGGACAACAAATGCTGAATATAAGCGGGAGCGGTTGGGTTCGGGCGAAAACCTCACGAGAGCTGGATTCAGAATTCAGTCCCACGCAGATCTCTATGTCGTGTCAGTGCCCTTGGCAAAGGTAACTTCACTTCTGTGATGCTCCATTAATGCTGAAAAGTACACAGAGATCTTGGAGCACAACATGCTGTCTTCTGGGAGTCACGTGATGCAGGCATTGAAGCAGGACGTGTGTCGGAGAACTCCGCGTGTGCCTCATCACTTGCTTCTATTTTACTAGTAATAATTGATCTCTAACTGTATTGCATGTTCTCTCACATATATCTCTTTCGTTACTCGAAATTTTTCGACTTTTGGTGTGAGAAACTCAACAAAACAATCCGACGACAGCTCCCTGATACGATGGCGGCTGCACAATAAAAGCTATCGCTTAAATCTCTCATGAAAGCGATTCGTGATTCTAACGACGAACTTACCTCTTACAGAAATAAGAAAACAGACGACATCCAAAGTTCTTTGCCCAAAATTGAACCGTCACATTCAGCTCTAGCCAAGCAGGTCGACGTAATGCTGGTCAGGATTGGAGCGAACGAGGACAATTTGAGAGACTCCTGTGTGTGAATTGTAAAGATGGAAAAGGAGATAATATTCCAGCCAGATCTCATGAGAAAACGCAAGCATTTTACGTTTTGCCAGTTTAGTAGCCAATTCGTATGAATTAGTACGAGTTTAGTTGTACGAAATTGTACGATTTTTAAAAGGAGGCATGGCACCTAACCCCACCCCTAAACCCAGCCGTCATTGGGGTATGAGCAAGTCGTACTAAACTGTACGAATTAGATCGTACGAATTCATGGGAATTAGCCACTAAATCAAAAAGTTACGAATTGCCGTGAGATTGTGTTGAATATTCTTAAAAGAAACAACTGATGATCTCAAGAACCGGAGCAGGAGATCAAATATAAAGATTATATGTTAAGTAATTTATAAACTAATTTGGAGAGGATCAGGTGCTTATGATTGCTAGCGGCTGGATCTGCATTATCCAGTTTATGATTCACCAATCAGACGATTCCTAATCCACTATAAATCCCCTCAGTTCCATATCACAGCGATGTTCGTTTGAAGAATCCCCCCTTCCACCCCTACTCCTCCTTTTTTCCTAGATGGGTGGCACGGTGGCCCAGTGGTTAGCACTGACACCTAACAGCAAGATCGTCACTGGTTCCAGTCCTTACTAAGCCAGCTGACATTTCTGTGCAGAGATTACACATTCTCCCCGTGCTCATGTGGGTTTCCCCCGGGTTCCCCGGTTTCCTCCCACCATCCAAAAACATGCAGCTTAAGTTAATTGACTAATCCAAATCAGCACCATAGACATGCTCCTAGTCTGTAGTTATCTCTTAAGAGCGATCACTATCTGTTCATTAGCCACTACAGCAGGGGAGTTCTCCAGATCTACCTGAGCTCAAACTCCCCTCTCAACGGGAGGGAGCCCTGAGCTCGAGGATCTCATGAGCTCAGGGCTCTCTCCCAGGACAGCATGCCAAACAAGCTTTATAATCAACCGTCAGCTAAGTGTGAACTCTTGAAATGAATGCTTAAGTCTAACTGATTGTGTTGTAGTAGCATTACTGTAAAAGGAAATTAAATAGTCACGTAAACCTTTCCCCTAGCTGTGCATATAGCCCATTGTAAACAGCATTTCAGAAAACTTGCGAACTAGTTTTAGTCTTCAGAGTCAGTTGTTCATGTTTCTGAATATTATTATAATGCTTGTCCAGTTAGAAAGCATCTCGAACACATCTGACTGTGTGATTGAGTTTAATATTGAGTGATTGTGCGGTTGATTGTGTGTGATGATGACACTTCACTGCGTGATTGATCATTGACTCTGGCAGATGATTTATTTGTTTGAGAAGTGTTGATGTAGTAAGTGGCTAAACCAATGTGCTGGTCATTATCACTTGACATCAGGGTTTATTGTGGTAATAATAACTCGCTGACTGCAGTAAATTTCCTTTATTAAAGTCATGTGTGGCATATACAGTCCAAGTCACAAGTATTCGCCCTCCTTTGATTTCTTTTTTCTAATATTTCCTAAATGATGTTGAACAGATTCAGGAATTTCTCACAGTA